CATCAGACGGCGACACATATTCAGTTGCCAGTTACTTTGGCATTAGGGCAGGGATATCTAGATACTTCCCAAGGTTTGACATAATGAATTGTGCTACTTTTAAAGCAAGCAACGATGTTTTCATATCTGTAATCAAAAAGGTCCTCAAAAACGCTATTGAAGCAGTTCCTGCCGTTGCTACGTTAGTTCAAACGGTAACAAGGACTATTTTTCTTAGCGGATGCATGTCATTTTAAATCAATACAACCATTTTTTAAATCAATAAAAACATTTTCTAAATCTATAAATGCATTTCAATTAATATTGGGAGTCTTGTCGTTACTTTGTTGAGAATGTGACCTTGTAATAAGCGGGATAATGTGCTTCTCGTCGGGTTCCCTGATCCGCCTGTCGGGTGTTCTCTTACCCATAATGACTGCCTCGCTGCACATATCCCTAACGGCCCGTCCACACTGCAGCTTCCACAGCTTCAAAAACGGTTTCCAACGCGCCTGCCCATTCACTTTGAATGGGGTGACGTCACGTTGCCTCGCTTTTCGCCGAACTGAATTGTGGGTAGCAGAGCGGAGCTTTCCTGGCGTTTCAGCAAAAGTTGAGCAATGTTCAAGTTTTGAAGCTTCTGAAGCTTTCGGTGGAAGCGTCAGCCAATCAAATCATATGCCAGTACAAGCTCTAGCCAATCAAAACGCTGCTTGTGTGTCAGGGGCGGGAGAGTGATGTGATTGGTTGTTGGTCGAGCTTCAGACACGCCCGCCGGCAAGCTTTTTTTGAAGCTGTAGTGTGGACGGGCCGTTACATATTATCTATCCATCTAATGTTTGGAGAAAGCGTGTCTGTTCTCAGTTACAAATGTCATGTGGTTACTAAAACGTTTTTTCTATATTTAGTTGTGATTCAGATAATGTCTTTGAAGAGATAGACCTGCTAAAAGGTGTACACATGTAGACCTGGTATGATTACCTAACTAATATCTATTTTACAACTTTTTTCATAATTCATTAAGCATTGAATGGCAAATAAATTGCCGAAAATGCTGTTTTCAGCCTTTAATTATGAAGATTTCCCTATTTTGTATCTGTTTTATGATTATGTTAAAGTGAATATCTTTGGGTGTTGGACTGACAAGACAAGACTTGGACAACTTGGACTTTTCTGGACGTTTCATAAACCATTAATGCATCTATAAACTAAGACATTTTAACATCTTGCTGTTTCAATAATGTGTTTTTACACCTTCTCATTGCAGGGTCCACCTGGCAGATTAGGCCCCTCTGGAAGAATTGGACCATCGACACCAGTACGTTTTAATAGATTTAATGTGGAATTAGCATATATATCACAACATTTAACATAGAAACTTTGCAACTTTGTTTTATATGTTTGATATGATATGAAGTTTTAACCTATAGTTACATCCAACCAGTTAATGTGCATGCTCCGCCTCTACCACTGGATGGCAGCGAAAGCAAGACAAAGCTGCTCTAATACATCTAAAAATATCTATCCCAAAGTGCCATGAAATTATATTAAAGTATTATTTGTTTACCTCCTTACGTCCTGACCATAACCACCAAATATTCATTCAATTTTAAACAATTGTGACCCCTGTTCAATCCAGTTGTTTCACGTAATGCCAGTGTTGTTATGATTTTAAAAAACTATTAAAACTATTTTGATTTTCTGTATGTTAGAGGGATCTTTTTACGCAGTGTGATATGTAGATGGTAGGGAACAGCACTCATTAAATGCATGTCTTTTTCATGCAGGAAACCAGCAAAACAGCCTGTATTCGCTACACACTTAATGTAAATAATATCCTGCTATACATTGTGCTAACTGAAAATCGGCCCGTCAATAGTGTTTTATTTGTCTGAGTTTTATAGATTTTTTATCTTCACGTCAACTTGTATATTTTCTACTATATTTTCTATTTTGAGATGTTTTAAATTTTATAATTTGCTCCATGGGGCAACCACATATTTGTTCTATGTGGTTGGAAATAATACTAGAATGATTTGGAAGCTAGTAATTGTGGTTTTAATGGGGACATTTTTTACCTTAAGTGTCTTAGTATCTATATTCAGCCGGATCTCCCTCCCACCTGACATTCGGAATATTGAGGCCCAGTTCCAAATCACGCCCTACACCAGTGCTTCTCAAAGTGTGGTCCGCGTACCACTGGTGGTCCGTGAGCGCCCCCTAGTGGTCCGGGAGTATATTGGTAAAATTTCACATTTGAAATAAATAAATAAATGTAAGTTTTCCGCACTCTCGCGGGAATATCTCCGCAAGGGATTGAGGTTAAGTTTCACTTTCAATTGCATGATATAGCCCAGCGCAACACCTTCATCACACATGTGGCCACTTGTTTCTACCATTTTCAGGCGATTTGTAGAAAAACGATGTGTTTTTTGATATTTGTGGAGTTAGGTGGTCCGCGAGTGTTTTTTTATTGGTTAAGTGGTCCTTGGTATGACAAAGTTAAGAAACACTGCCCTACACCCTACCCCTCCGTTTGCGCGTTCGCGCCGAGGGTCCGTCACATTAAGTGCTGTTCCAAACCAACGAGTGTGGAGGGGAGTGGGTTATCAAGCCCTCAAACAGCGAATCTGCTTCCCCTAACCTAACCCTGCTGCACTACCTGACCGGTCTCAACGCTTTGTGTGTCCGTCAGGAAACAAGCTGTTTACAAACAGTTCCAGTCCACTGATAAATTGCGATGTTAACAACCTCATGATAACCTCATCTTTTTTTAACTTAGGATCGTATACCTGTGTTTAGTCATACCTATTAATTTTATTATAAAGTTGTGTATATTTACAGACTGTTGTTGTATTATCATTATTATATTATTATAACAGCTGATTTTAAACTTCCAAATTAAAATACCTAATGCATTAACACAGCCTAAAGGAGTGAATTAAAAACGAAATTACAGATTGTGCATGAAACAGCTTTTCATTTAGACAAAACAAACACAACTTCAAAACCTGATCATGTTTTATATTTGTGTTAAAACATTGATTTGACTCATTTCACGTGTCTTTCAGGGTTTGCCCGGCAACAGAGGAGAGGATGGAAAGAGTGGAAACCCTGGAGCAAAGGTGTAATAAACTATTTATGAATCCTAACAAAGTGTAATGCCTCCGTCCATGTGAAGGAGTTCCCTTTACACATTATGTTTCTCTGCTGTGTGTTTCAGGGCAGTCACGGTGAGACGGGGAGGCTCGGTCTTCACGGAATCAGAGGAGACATGGTGGGTGTTTAATCTGGTTGAGTGTATTTATAATAGTCTATTTAATATAATAGAATATTTTTAGAATATCTTATGAATTGTAAGGTGTCCTTGGGTGCTTTGAAAGGCGCCTCTAAATAGAATGAATTATTATTATTATTAATTATTTAATTATGTGTATAAAGATGTGACCAATGTCTCCTTCTGTCCTCCTCAGGGCGTTAGAGGTCATAAAGGGGCAAATGGAGAGCCTGGTACG